ACAGTAATTAGTAATTATTGTTCACACATATAGACATACGTACACACAGTTTCTTTCTGAGATTGGCAGCAGGAAAAAGTTAAAAAAGACAGGTTTCAGTCACTGAAATAACACTTTTAAAACTTCTATCCTGCCAGAAAATGTCAGAAACAACTCCTTCATTCTGTTTAGGTTATAGAGTAATTGGATAAACATTAAGAATTTAACACCCCCAGATATTAGCTTATGTACTATGTTTGCTTCATTAAGTTCACAGCAGATTTTATGGCAGAATAATGTAGATTTCAGAGCCGGTTGTTGCAGTGGTTAAAGTGCTGGGATAGAAACTGGGAGACTGTGAGTTCTAGTCCCACCTTAGATACAAAAGCAGCTGGGTAATCTTGCCTCCCTAGGAGGCAGTGACAAACCATTTCTGATATCTTACAGAAGAAAACTGCACAGGCCTGTCCAATCTGTACTGACTCAAAGGTGCACATACACACATAAGCACAAAAACATATTTCACATGGTTAGCTTAGAAGACTTAGAATAACAGAGTTGGAAGGAGCTTTGTAGGTCATCTAGTCCAACTTCCTGCTCAAGCAGAAGACCCTATACCAGCGGTTCTCAACCTTTTTAATGCCGCGACCCCCCAACCGGTCGCAAGTCGAGGACTACTCAACCGGTCGTAAGTCGAGGACTACTTAACTGGTGCAGCACCGTTTGCAGAATGGGACTTTTGGTGGGCTCAGCAGGGCAGAGACAGCCTGGACAATTCCTACTGGCTTTTGAAAGCCAATAAAATTAGACTCTATTCAAGAGAGTCTATTCTATTGGCTTTCAAAAGCCAATAGAATAAAAGGGAGTAGCACAGCTAAGGAAAAGGGGAAAAAAATGGCGGACTGTGTTGTTTGGCGACCCCCGTGAAATGGTCGTTCGACCCCAAATGGGTTCCCGACCCACAGGTTGAGAACCACTGCCCTATACCATTTCTGACAAGTGGCTGTCCAGTTTCTTCTTGAAAGCCTCCAGTGATGAAGCACCCACAACATTTGAAGGCAAGCTGTTCCATTGGTTGATTGTTCTCACTGTCAGAAAATTTCTCCTTATTTCTAGGTTAAATCTCTCCTTGATCGGTTTCCATCCATTGTTCCTTGTCTGGCCTTTGGGTGCTTTGGAAAATAGGTTGTCCCCCTCTTCTCTGTGACAGCTCCTTAAATATTGGAACACTGCTATCATGGTCCTTCTCTTCACTAGACTAGCCATGCCCAGTTCTTGCATCGTTCATCATATGTTTTAGCCTCCAGGCCCCTAATTTGTGCTCTTCTTTTTCTGTATGAAAATAAACTTCAGAAACAAAAAAAATATTTGTACAAACAGAAATACTGCTAGACAGTTATAGATATTTCTACTGCTCTTTCATTAATAAGGCAAGGATATTTACTTTCCTATAGTTTTAGATACCGTAAATGCTGGCGTACAAGGCGACCCGGCGTATAAGACGACCCCCGTCTTTATAGCCGGGCCGCATTCCTAGAACGTCGTCTTATACGCCGGAAACTACCAGTATTTCCGGCGTATAAGACGACTTGGCGTATAAGACGACCCCCGTCTTTGGCACCGATTTCAGCGCTCGCGGAAGTCGCCTTATATGTCGGCATTTACGGTACATTCTGATCCCAAGTCCAAAATTCCCTGTTTTATCATTGGATCACTTTCATACAGAAAAACATGATCTGGACTCAGCAAATGTGTTTGAAATGGAATTACTGATTTTTTTCAAATAGCTTTTGCTTCGTGGTTATACTATCTGTAGCCATCATCTTTCCTCCCACCTGTTTAATACTTCTAACCATAACTAGATCTCAGTTCCTCGAATAAGGATCAGAAAAGACACAACACCACTTCACTATAATAGGGAATAAGATAGTGTGGCCTAGTAGTTAAGGCACCAGGCTAGAAAGCAGGAGACTGTATGTTCAAGTCCTGCCTTATGAAAGCCAGCTGGGTGACTTTGGGACAGTCACTCTCTCTTAGCCCAACCCAGCTCACAGGGCTATTGTAAGGAAAATAAGAGGAAGATGTTTGATATGTTTGTCATCTTATTTGTAAAAAGAATGCAGGTGGGATATAAATACATTAAAATGGGAGGAATCTAGAGGTAGTCCTCCAACTTACACTGGGACTGAAATTTCATGTGTAAGTCTTCATATGATTTTGCCAATTTTTATAGCAGTCCTAAAATGAATGTGATAGTTCAGTAAATCACATGGTTGTAAGTATAGTACAAATCAACCCTCACCAAGGAATCTTTTGCCATTGTTTGCCAGAAACTGGCAAAAATTCACAAGATGTGAACATATGCCTGTGGGACACTGATCATAAATGTGAGCCAGTTGCCAACGACATGAATTGCAATCACTTGAACATGAGTGTACTGTGATGTGACATTTTCGATGGTCAGAAGTGCTTTACAAGTGCCCTCATAACTTTGTACCCTTGTTAAACAATCCTAAGTCAAGATTGTCTATATACAGAATAGGGTATATGGATGTATTAATTTCATTAATTCTGCATAGTAGGCTAGTGATCTATCCCAACAGAAGTACTGGTATATGTAAAATTTTCCTGTTGTTAGTATCTGTTTGGTTTAACAAGCAAATTGCACAGGAGGCAGGAGACTGAAAAACTCTGTGCCCAGTGAACATCTAAGCTATTTAAAAAAAATTTAAAAAACACAATGAACATAATTCTTCCCTAAAGCAGTTATGGGGCTTAGAAAACTATGTAATATTTATAATGTTAGGAATAATAGAATCTTTAGCCAAGGAGAAAGCTGGGAATTTTTTAGAAGGCTAACAGACTGTAGCCTAGTTTTTCATATCGCAGTGAAACATGACATGTTCGTAAAACCTGTCTGATATCCAGACTCTATACACTGATGAATGAATGGCAGTGAAAAAGTCTTTCAAACTGTGCCCAGACTTTTGCTTTCCTTTTACAGTTTTTCACAGAATGATACATTGGCAAGGGAATCTGGAACTGCCAACTCTTTTAACAAAACCTTTGGAAAGTTCACAACATTTTGGAAAGTTCACAAAATTGAATTTAGGTGCATGGAGGGGGGTGGAATCTGGAAAACAGAAGAAGTAAAACCAAGCATTATTATCTCAGAAAGGAATTTTGCACTACAGTATGGCAAGAAAGCAAATTCACTTTGTTACCATTCCAGTGTTTATTTGGAAATAAACCAAGTTCCCTTGAACATTTGCATTAGCTAAGACCATACTCTCAGCTGAATCTAAGCACATAAACATACATTGGCAACATTGTTTTTCTGCCACATTCCCACAATGTTGCCTTCATCGCATTCCATGAGTGAGGCAGCCTTAAATATGTACTCCTTTCCTGTGACTGGTGTTAAGGCGGTCCAGAGTTACTCCATGAGTGAGATAGGTGGTTTCTTAAATCTGATATATAAATTTCCTACTTATTGCAACCCTGCCCAAGGACATTCCAAAGGCATATATAATATCTTAGGCTTTATCACCCATTACCTTGGATGGTTTTTGATAGCTATGGGGATTTGAAACTGCGGCAACAAATCCAGTTTAGTATAAGGATCAGGACTGCAGCAGCACTTTTCATGATTTCTGCTGAGTCAAGGGTGGCTAGAAAGCACCTCAACTCAATAGTTGAGAAAAACCCTAAATTTTTACAGTACATCCTAAAGCTAATTTATTTAATTAGAACAATTAATCAGTGGAACAACTTGCTTCCAAAGTTGTGGGTGCTCCAACACTGGAAGTTTTTAAGAAGAGATTGGACAACTATTTGAAATGTTATAACATTTGAGCAGGGGGTGAACTAGAAGACCTCCAAGGTCCCTTCCGACTCTTGTTATTCTGTTATTTTTAAGAGTCTATATTAGACATATATAGTGAATTAAGTGAGACGGGAGTAATGAGGGGGGAAAACAACGAGCTTCAAACGTTTTCCCATGAGGGAAAAGTCCTTGAAAAAATAAACGACTTTCAATCTTTTCAGTACAATCACCGGTGGCAGCAAATGCAGATCTCCTCGCCTTTAGCAACGCGGAAACCGCCGCGGGGAGAGAGAACCGCGCTTGAAGTTTCCGCAGCAACTAAGACGGCTGCTATAACCACGTGTCCCCCCCCCCCCAAACGACACTTCATCAGAGCCCTCCCCCCCACATGCACCTGTTGACAAAGCCTCAGGGACGAACCGCGTTTAGCCCCGGGGCAGTCTGATATTCAACGAGAGATTCATTTCAGGCTCAAGGACAGGCCCTCGCCTCTCCTGCCCCCCCCCCTTGAAAAATAGGCAAGGCCGTTGAACTAATCTCTCCGCCTCTGCAACCAGCCTTGACAATTCGTATCTACCCATTACACACACACACACACACACACTCCCGCCCTCACCCACAAAGCGCAACACCAGCCCAAGACCTGCCAGAGCTCCGGTCCTTCCCTTCTCTCCCGCCTCCTTCCCCCCCCCTCGCCCCCAGCCAAACCCTTCCAGCGACTTTCAGGCAAATTACAGTCCTGAATCTATTGCGCTAGGTTCGCCCCACGCACAGTAGGTAGGAGACGCGGCGGCATTTCACTTTCTCAGAGCACATCGCACTTTCTCTTCTCCCCTCCCCTCGGTCAACTCACTCATCTTCTCACCCGCTCACAAACCCTTTGGACCCTCGGCAAAGAAAGCGCTCCCGCGGCTCCATCGTTTTTTCTTTTTCTTTTTTCCTTTTTTTCCTTATTTATAACAGAGGAGCCCATCATAGGCATCCGTTTCTTCCTACTTGCTCTGCCCACCTTCTGGCTCAGCGCAATCCCGAACTACGGGGCAATCTCGATTTTCCCGCCAAAATGGACTGCCACCTCAGACGGGACGAACCCAGCCCTCTGTTTTCCCGCCGGCTAAAGTCGTCGGAAGAAGCGTCTGCCCGGCCCGTTCTTGCCCAGCATTGCCTGCGAGATGGGCTGGCGCCCGGCTCTCACCCCAGTGATGACCGCCGAGTCCCCCGAGCAGAAGAAGAGCAGAAAGAGGAAAGGAAGGCAGGGAAGGCTTTTCATGGCGTCCTCCTGTATTTTGTAGGTCTGTCCCGAGGCTGAGTCCGGCAGCTCTCCGTGCGCGGAGTACTCAGCTGGGGGCTCCCTCCGGACGGCAGCAACGTGAAGAAGAGCAGAGCTGAAGCTGCGGTCGCTGGAGCCGTTTTAAAGCCCCGGGCTGCTATTCAGAAGCAAGATGAGTCACTTCTCGAGCTACCCCGGCAACGCTGCCGTGCCGTCGGGGAGAGGGACCGGAATCCATACCCGCGAATCCATACGAAAGCCCGAGCTGAAATACGAAAGCGCACCTCGTCGTTATAGAGGAGGTATTCTTGGCGGGATGCAAAAAAGAGCATCGCAATTTCTAAAAACTAAGCAGAGGCCTAAGGCGAGCCTGGAAAGGGTTCACAGGGATGTAGGTTGCCTTAGGGAAAGCTTTTAGTAGTAGCTATAATCTTAGCCAAAGGAACAACAGTCACAGTGACATGTTAAAGCACTCAGAAATATACATGCAGATCTCATTAGGTAGCCATCATCTGTCTGAGAGAGTTATTTTCATGGGGGATTAAGGCATGCAAATGAAAAAGAGACAGAATCTGGTGGTATAAGATTGATTTGAGTATGAAGAGCACCAGCTAAAATCTCTCATCCTGTTAAGCATCTCTTACTAGTGTGGGACAAGTTCCTTGCAACTGTTTTCAGAATCTGCTCCGTCCCTCATGCTCATATCTGTTCTGGGTGTTTCACAAGTTAAAATAATGTGAAATAAATAAATGGACAGATAAGGCCAGACACACAAGGCAAGACCATTAAACTAACAGTATTGAAACTGAACTATTTTATTTTGGGGGTTTGGAAAGAATTGAAGCAGCAGATTTTCCACTTGAAAATCTCATTATTTTGAACAAGCATAGGTAGAAAAATCTATGTCAGTGTTTCTTGAAGTATGGTTGTAGGATCCCTGGAGATCCTTCAAGAGCCACTCGGGGTCCATGAAATATAAATTATTTGCCAGCCCATGTTGAAAAATAATACAATATTAAAATCCCATCAATCAATCATGAGAGGCAGTAGCAGCAGTGAATGCATCAATTTTAATATTTCATATGGTAAATATAAATAAATATAACCCATACAAACAAAAGCTTTTGAGGGGTTCTTCATAATTTTTTAAATAGAAAGGGTCCCCGAGAGAAAAATGTTTAAGAAACATTGATCTATATAGTTAGATACATTTCAGGATACTGTTAAAACAGAATAATACAAAAAAACCTCTTCTCTATGGAATAGTGAAGATCTAATCTTTCAGAATATTGTTAAGAAATAGCACTGATATAAATTTTCTTCTTGAAATGAAGTAGTGGGACTCTGCTCTCTTCTCCTGGCCTTCATTCAAAACTTGGTAGGAAATTGATGTCAAAAACAGAAAGAGGAGACATGTTGAAGGACACAAAAATCACTCAACAACAAGCTAATTGATATGTCCAGTTTAATGAAAATAAAGACCAGGGGTGTCATGATAGCAGTCTTCCAATATCTAAGGAGCTGCTACAGTAAACATATTCTCTAAAGCACATGAAAGCAGAACAAAAAATGATGGATGCAAACTTATCAAGGAGAAAACCAACCTAGAAATAAGGAGAAATTTCCTGACATTTAGAACAATTAATCAGTGGAACAATTTGCCTTCAGAAGTTGTGTGTGCTCCATCACTGGAGGTTTTTAAAGAGAGATTGGACAATCATTTGTCTGAAGTAGTATAGAGTATCCTGCATGAGTAGGGGGTTGGTTTACTAGAAGACCTCCAAGGTCCCTTCCAATTCTGTTATTCTAGTGCAGGGGTGTCAAACTCAATTTCATTGAGGGCCGCATCAGCATTGCGGTTGCCCTCGGGGGGGCGGGTTGGTGTGGCCAGGGTGGGTGTGGCCTATTGGGTGGGCGTGGATGGAGTGGGTGTGGCCTACTGGGTGGGTGTGGTCAGCTCTACATCATTCGCGTCAAGGGTGCCTGTGGGGGCCTGGGCAGGAGTGGAACAGATCTGAGGGTCCCTGGCAGAAGGGGGTGCAACCAGGGCAAGTGCCAAGGCATGGTCCACTGGAGGAGCCATGCGGGGGGGCTGGATGGTGGCACGGGCTGCCTGGAGCCCTGGGCAGCAGAGGTCAAACCTCCAGCCTGGCCTTTGAGCACCTTCTGCACCAAGCTCAGCCCCACTTCCCCAAGGGGGCGCCTAGCTGCACTTATCTCCTTCTCAAGGCTGCTGCTGCTGTGTTTGTTCTCCTTAGCCAGGTGGCTCATGATGGGTACGAGGGCAAAGTCAGAGGGAGGCCCATTCCATCTCCATGGGAGGTGACCCGGCTTTGTATCCAAAGCTTCCTTAGAAATAGGATGGGAGACCCCAGGATAGGCCAGGAGGAGGGGGCAAGGGGATGGTTAAAAGGCAGCAGGGCAGGACTAAGGCAGGACTTCCCTCAGACCGTTTCTCTCCTTCCTTCCTTCCTTCCTTCCTTCCTTCCTTCCTTCCTTCCTTCCTTCCTTCCTTCCTTCCTTCGTACAGAGTGGTGAGAAAATATTTGAGATGAGAGAGGGAGAAAAACAGGCAAGAAACACAGCTGGGGAGGTGTCACCCTTCGTGAGGAATGAAGAAATACACCATCGCCTGGAAGTGGCCAGCACATGGCCCTCACCTACTTCACATATCTGGCTTGGTGGGCTCTGGGGAGGGGATGTCATGAGCAGCGTGAGAGTCAATGTTACCTGCGCAATGCCGCCCAGCCCCCAGCCTGCCCAGTTTGGCAGGCAGCAAGGCACTCGCTGAGCCGAGTGGCGCAAATCTGAAAACAAGCGCGAGGCCACCCAGCCCCCAACCTGCCTGGTTTCGGCAGGTAGCGGGGCGCTTTCCTCACAGTGCTAAGAGGTTCAGCCGGGAGGTGTGAGGCTCGCCAGCTTTGCCCCTTGCTCCCTGCTGAAACTGGGCAGGCTGGGGTCTAGGCAGCATTGCACTTCTCATCATATTCGCACTACCAGTCATCTCTTGGCGCTGTGAGGAGAGCACCCTGCTGCCTGCAGAAACCCCTCCCCCGGAGCCCATCAAGCCGGATATGTGAAGTAGGTGAAGGCCATTTGCTGGCCACTTCCAAGCGATGGTGCATTTCTTCATTCCTCACAAAGGGTGACACCTCCCCAGCATGCACCCAGGGGGCAGGGGTGATGCGGCAGGGGCTGGTTCCTCGCTGTTTCCAGACGGCCTTGTGGAGCTAAGACTGAATACGTTTCAGCATAGATGGCCACCACAAAATTGTATATTGGCTCCCAGCTGGCCCGGGCCAGGGCCAAGGCAGTGGGGGCCGTTCCTTTACTGTTCCCAGGATGGCTTCGCAGGCCACATGAAACCACTTCGTGGGCCTTGTGTTTGACATGCCTGTTCTAGTGCATGAAGGAAACATTTAGAACAGGGGCCCCAACCCCCGGTCTGTGGACAGTATCAGGCCGTGGCATGCCAGCAACCGGTCCTCACAAACAAGCGAAGACCAATCTGTGAGATGCAGGCACACAAAACTATGCCCCCCCCCCGGTCCACAGAAAAACCTGTCTCAACAGAACCAGTCCCTGGTGCCCAAAATGTTGGGTACCTCTGATTTAGAAGACAATGGCTGCACCAGGGCCTGCTTAGGACCAGAAGGAATAAGCTTGGGCTTTCAAAACCCCCAGATTTCACTTCTGACCACATCCACAGCAGGTCACCTAACCTCTCTTCCTAGATACTCTATGAACAAATATACTATTTGGACATCATGAAGTTGTGATGGAAGAGCCTTGGTTTCATGCTACTTGAAATCAGTATGACTCAGAATTGTTAATTTCACTTATGGCCCGGGGATCACGGATTTAGATAGAAGACTACCGTAGATTGTCAGGGGATGATGGCACAAGAAGAGGCAAGGTTTCACATTTTCTAGATTGAGTAAAGTTTTTAATTTGTGCAATGGAAAAATATTGAAGAATTGAAAAGTTCTAAAATAGATATTTGAAGGAGCTATTAGCTAAGATCCACGAGCCTTTTTATTCATATGTCAGTTCTGTTTTACAGACTGCAGATTCATTTTAAAAACTCTTGTTCTATAGTATATATTTTTCACAGATGTCTTTTTTTAGGTATTCTAAATTCAGATACAAAGTTGAAGACATTCTGTACTCCTCCAACACATATACACATGATTTTTAAAGTAGTCTCGTAGTTTTTCGGGGTAACTTTTCAGCCATTTGACCCAACAATCATAATTTTAATCTTAAACAAAATAAATACTAAGGTCATTTCAAAGGGTGTGTGTGTGTGTGTGTGGAAATAATATACTGTACCTCTATCAAATAAGGTTTTACACTGAAATATATGTCTAAGGCCCTTTACTTCTACAACATTGTTAATAATAATAATAATAATAATAATAATAATAATAATAATAATAATAATAATATAGTAAAGTTGGAAGGGACCTTGGAGGTCATCTAGTCCAACCCCCTGCTCAGGCAGGAAACCCTATACCATTTCGGACAAATGGCTGTCCAGTCTCTTCTTAAAAACTTCCAGTGTTGGAGCATTTACCGCTTCTGGAGGCAGGTTGTTCCACTGGGTTAATTGTTCTCACTGTCAGGAAGTTTCTCCTTAGTTCTAGGTTGCTTCTCTCCTTGATTAGTTTCCACCCGTTGCTTCTTGTCCTGCCTTCAGGTGCTTTGGAAAATAGCTTGACTCCCTCTTCTTTGGGCAGCCCCTGAGATATTGGAAGACTGCTATCATGTCCCCCCTCGTCCTTCTCTTCATTAAACTAGACATACCCAATTCCAGCAACCGTTCCTTATATGCTTTAGCCTCCAGTCCCCTGATCATCTTTGTTGCTCTTCTCTGTACTCTTTCTAGAGTCTCAACATCTTTTTTACATCGCGGTGACCAAAACTGGATGCAGTATTCCAAGTGTGGCCTTACCAAGGCATTGTAAAGTGGTATTAACACTTCACGTGATCTTGATTCTATCCCTCTGTTAATGCAGCCTAGCACTGTGTTGGCCTTTTTGGCAGCTGCAGCACACTGCTGGCTCATATTTAAGTGATTGTCTACTAGGACTCCGAGGTCCCTCTCACAGTTACTACTATTGAGCATGGTGCCACCTATGCTGTACTTGTGCATTTGGTTTTTCTTGCCTAAATGTAGAACCTTGCTTTTTTCACCATTGAATTTCATTTTGTTAGTTAGTGCCCAGTGTTCAAGTCTGTCCAGATCCTTCTGTATCTTAAGCCTGTCTTCTGGAGTGTTGGCTATTCCTGCCAGCTTGGTGTCGTCTGCAAATTTGATGAGTTCCCCATTTATCCCCTCGTCCAAATCATTGATGAAGATGTTGAAGAGCACTGGGCCCAGAACAGTGCCCTGGGGCACCCCACTACATATTTCCCTCCAGATGCGGTTGCATTGAGGACCACACGCTGAGTACGGCCGGTCAGCCAGCTACGGATCCATCTGGTGGTGATGCTGTCTAACCCACATTTTTCTAGCTTATCAAGTAGTATGTTGTGATCTACTTTGTCAAATGCCTTACTGAAGTCCAAGTAAATTAT